GGAGGTTGGGTCAGCTGATAATGCCAGTGCTTCTACTAATAAAAAAGAAATTTGGTGGGTGAGGCCTGGCTCCACTACACCACTGCTGCAAAAGCTGAGGATACTGCGGAACATTTCTCAGCCTCTGGGATTGCTCCAAGACATTTTGCTGCCTGAAACAAAGGACAATATGGCGCCTGTTCTCATTCCATATACACAACCCAGCTGGACCAGTGGCTGAATTTTTCTTGACCACAGCTCAACTCAGCAGACTGGTTCACAGGATGGAAGGCAGGCTGCATAGCCCACAGTTCTCCATCACCTTGCCCTTGCCCCCATCCCCCCCCCGCTTCTGTTACCTGAGGCAACAGCCTCAACTTTACCTACACAATGCATGGCTGGCGGCCTGCATTCAACTTAGTCATTCAGAAAATTGCAGAACTGAACCCTAAGGGCAGCTTAGAGACAATCTATGATGGCAGGGGCTGGGAGAGAGATTGCTAGCTACAGTAATATCTTGTGCTTTTCAGACATCAGTTCCTCATGCTGGGCCTGCATTGGTCTGTTTCTGTTTCTGTTTCCTGCAGACTGGCTAATAACCAGTGTGAATGTGTAAAGATGAGGTTCTTCTGAACTTCACACACATACCTCAGGTGGACATACCCTGACCTTGTACCCTCTAAATTTTTGAAGTTCACCTCCTCATACCCCCCAGCCAGCATGACAATTGTCAGGAATGCTGGAAGCTGTAGGACAATCTGAAGGACACCAGGTTGTCAAAGGCTAACCAAAGCAGACCTCCTCTATAGGCGTACTATGATTTTCTCAGTGGGAGCATTCGGTAGTTTGAAAATGTTGGCATCAGTCTTCTCTTAAATACTTACAAATATGCTTGGAACCCATTAAGGACATGGACACAGATGTGTGTATTGCTGGCTACCAGTTATGATGGCTTATATTATTACCTGCAGCACTGGAGACACACTGCCTCTAAATGCCACTTGTATGAACAGGAACATGGAATCATACTCCTGCGGTGCTTGAGGGTGTCCCACTGGCATCTGATTGGCCACCGTGTGAATAGGATGCTGGATCAGCTGGGCTCATCTTATTTTTTTTTTTTAACAGCAAGCTGCCACAGAATGTTCACAAATGCTACAGCTGATTTCTTTGATCACACTGACATCAAGAGTAGCAATACAATGGCTACCGCCACATAGTATTTTCACAGGAACAATGACTTCAAAATGGATTGGCATTGGGAGCAAAGAGTAAGCACACATTGTCTTTCTTCACTGTCTCCTGAACCAGCTACATGTGTTGCAAATCTTCTTTGTCTCTGTTTTAAGATGTAGGACAGTATCTGCAGTCTTACATTTCCCATGCAAGGCACACTTACGTGTTTCCACAGTCCTCTTCTTCAGTAACGTTTATCAAAGTCAATGGGGCTTAGGAGTTCCTATCCACTCTTTCTCTTGTGTGACTATTCTTCCATACTATAACATACTATATGCATACTGAAATAGGCAACTGAGCAAGCCCCATTAAACATGTGACCAAGTAGTTGAATTCATTGCTCACTGTTCACCCATGCATTCCTCAGTTTACCAAAAGCCCAGACAATGAATGGATCATCTAGTTCCCCCAGAAGGTGCTGGCATCAATCATTCCCGTATTGAGCAATGAGGCTGAAGAGGGAGGGCCCAAAACACCAGATATTTTAGTTTAAAGGTCTTACTCCTGGTAACTAAGTCTTAAGGAGAGGCATTTTAGCCTTCTAGAATGGGGAAGAAATTGCACAAAAGCCAGGAAACCACAAAATGATTGGCAGTTAAGGGAAAGGCGTGGTACCAAAACAAGAGAGCATGGACTTCAGGAATTCTGAAAGGATAAGACCCTGAAGTTCTGCTCCCCAATGTAAATTACTCCAGAAACCCGTTTTCATTCATTGATTTTGTTCAACTAGCATGATTACTGAAATGTAGAGCTTTCTTCCAAGACATGTTGTAAAACTATAGAGCTGGAAAGAACAAAAGTTCAGTTAGTTTAACCTCTTGCCTAAAGGCAGGTTTATTCATCTATCACTGTGGTCCAGGCCACATGCAATATTTTAACATGCAAGTGATTTCTATTTATGATAAGACTATGAAAGTAGTCCTGGAAGTACATGCATCTCAGGAAATGCTGCACTGAAGAAAATGAGAACATAAATCAAATGTAAGCTCTTAGTCCGTGTCAAGAGCATACAATTGTTTGTTTAAAGCAATCCAAAGTAATTACAATCCATTTGCTCAACCATGATGGGTGAATTTCTGGGATGGCAACTTCATAGGTCAATTAGATGTTGAGCAGATAAAGGCAGTCACAGTAAATACAATGTACTGAATGATGTGTTTTCTGTTTGGGTTCTATTTTTTGCCCACTCTGGCCAAATATACTAGGACCGTATTACTCAAAGCATAACCCACTAAGAGCAAATGCTTGTTTAGCCTTGTCTATGTGGCATGAACAACAAAGCAAAGCACAGATGTCTGAGTGCCCCCGTTGGGCCAGGAAAGCCTTGCTCATCCCCCCTGTGCCCATAAAATCCAAAATTTCAGCAGGGACACCATCTTCTCACAGTCCTTAAGTGAGTCCCAGACACTTCAGTCAGGCACTTCAAAAATCACAGTGCCTGTGCTATACACTCTGGATCACTTTCCTCTCTCACCTTGTATTGTCTAACAGAGCCTTCTGCAAGCTATACTATCCATATCAGCTGGACTACAAATCCCATCATTTGGGAAGTTGGAAAAAAGGTATTCATTGGTGTTAAGGGATACTTTTAATTTTTAAGCCAGCTTTGAGGGGCTGGAAAGAGTGGTTCTGATTTGAATCAGGACCACATGTACTGATCAGAAAAAAGCTACAAGTGAGATAATTAGCATAATTATTAGCATAATTGGCTCTGAAAAAGAAAGGGGGCCTGTTGGGGGAAATGAGACTGCAGTATGCAGGCAAAAATGATGAGAAGAAACAAATAGGTCAAGTCCAAACTTACAAAACGTGGCATCCCATTTTGGTAAAAGGCTTTGATTCAGTACAAAGGATATTAATTCCTTGGAAGTCATGTTAGGAAAAGGTAATTTCAGTCTAAGAGAAGATACCAAACTGGACAATGAAACTTGAAACTAAGTACAGGAATTCCTTCTAATTCTCAGAGAGAAGGCTCCCCATGTGTGTCAGCACTTTCCTCTCTGCCATTCACTAAAATGCTATATTTTTCAACTTGAAAAGATGCCTTAAGGTTGCAGCTGCATGCAGAATAGCCAGGGTGCATTGAAATAGCTTAAATCTTACCAGAAGTGGCCAATGAATGCAGAGCATTCTAAAACACCACTGGAATTAGTCCTGTTGTGGTGCTGTTTGAGCAGCAAAACATTAAAATGTGTAGCAGGCTTCAAGCCCTTTCCCACCACGCCTTTATGTTTGCATATCCCAGTGGAGTATTATCACATTAGATCAAAAGAACAGAGGCATTTTTACACATGAATCTTTTCCATCTACTGCAGTAGGCCAGTTCTGTCAGATACAAAAAGGGACATAACTGTTTTTAAAGTAAGAATATGTTTCAGGCCTCATATATATTCATTTTGATTCCTAATGTGTCACATGCAAACACTCTAAGGAAGGTGCAGGTGTGACAGTACTTGAAAGGGCCTTGCTTTTCCATGATCTCCTCTGAGATAAGACATAAAACCTTTCGATTTTAAGATACTTTTCAATGTGGTAGGATCCTGCATATTCAAAATACAATGAATGTTGGATCCAGACTTGGATTACACCCATCAAAATCAGGGTAAATAATACCCTGTATTATTGTTAATAATTTATTTAATAATTTATGTAAGAAATTAGTAATAATTAGTAATTATTTATTAGTAATAATTAGTAATTATTTATTAGTAATAATTAGTAGTTATCTACATAAGAATTGTTGATTTTGAAGGGGTCCACTCTAAGCATGACTAAGCATGAATCAAACTCTGCATCTGTTCCCCAAACTGGAATCCTGAACATCTTTTCCATATATATGAAAGAAAGAAAGAAAGAAAGAAAGAGAGAGAGAGAGAGAGAGAGAGAGAGAGAGAGAGAGAGAGAAAGAAAACAGGTCTGCAGCTCTCACAGTTCTGGAGAGAAGCTTGCAAGTGTAACTCTTTAGAACACAAAAAGCAAACAGGCAAGGATCTGCTTTCCTGGGCCATGGATTTCCTTCCCACATGCTTAAACTGGAGCTGGCTATTTTCAATGCCCTGATTACATGCCCATATGCAACAAAGGCCTCAGCACCAAAACAGTTACTATCTTAAAATAAATGTATGTCTAGCTTTTTCTCACTGTACACAAGAGTAGGCACATCAAGTGCAGTCCAGAGCCTCAGTGCTCCCTTTCTCCCAGGGCTGGGGTTGTGATCTTTAACTATGGCTACTGTAGAGCGGTTATGAAAAATGGCATCACTGCTACATATGGATTTAAAGTAATGTCTCTTTTGAGCCTTGGTCTTTAAAATATCGATTTGCATTTGCTGAGTATGCTCAGGTGTGTGGTAGCCAGAACAAAAAAGAGGAAAGTGCTCCTGCACCTGTAGGGGTTGCATAGAATAGGGGATTTCTGCAGTTGTAGTTTGCCATGTAAAGTACACCAACTGAATTATGTCTTCTTTGCAGCTCTTAAAAGATCAGGAGCCTTGCCCTCTTCTCCATCTGGGTGCTCTGCATGGGGGCATTCCTGTATGCACCCCTGCACTCCAGGAGCCATATGTAAATGAATATCCAGTGTGTGTGCATAAACATTTTAGAAGACGTACCCTGACATGAAAACTTCAAAATAGCAGGCTGTCTTCTAGATATTTAGTAATCCTTTCAGCAACACATCTAAGAATTGGAAGGGAAGCCACAGAAATGGATGCTGCTGAAAAATGTAGACCCAACATTCAAGTGAAATTTTGTTGCGGGAATTTATTAATTGATGACAGCTCACTTATGTATCAGTTCCCCAAAACACTGGGAGAACAAAGGTAGAGCGCACAACTACTTTCCTCCTGCTGTGCAACTACTTTTTGGTCTGCCACTGTAGTGAGATCCATGAAGATTCTGATTCGGTTTTTAAAAAGGTTCAATGCACTGTGCTCCAGACGTTCCTGAATTTTGTAAAATGGTCCCAATTGTGTGGTACCTTCAGAAACACATCATGGACCCTTTCATGAGGCCATGTTTCATAGGATAAATGCATGGGGACATTGAGAATTTCAATAATCAGAGCTCAGTGAGAGGAACATGACTGTGCAAAGGTACACAAACCTGTAGGTCAAGATACAGAGCTTCATGTTAGCACACCCACTTCCCATTTCGCACCAGCACACCCTTTCTACATGCAAAGAGCCCAGCTGCAGCCACGGACATCAAGAAAGCAGAGAAGCCCATCATCTTCAGTAGTGCAGGTACAGAAGGTAAGTTCCTTTCCCAGAAGGTAGTAGTCATTGGTAGGGCTGGGACATCCTGGATGGAAAAACGTTTAGTATACATGTGAACTTCACGTGAATTGCATACTGACGGAGTGAGCACTAAAAACTCAAAGGCACTCAAAACATAAAGGAATCTAAGCAGAATCTCAATGTTTGAAGTTATTTCCTCATCTTGTTGCTTCAAGGTAGGCATATGGAATGTGGGGTGGGGAAAATTTTGTTCAGTCTACTTTTGTGACCTTCCCAAAATAATATGGCAGATCAGAACACAGATATTCTTTGGAGTGTGCACTTCTCTGAGCTAACATTTCATTTAAAAAATCTTATTTTAGGGCAAACTGTACAAACGTGTGCTTTAGGGAAAACTTAATACAACAGAACATCTTAGGGAGAAATCACATAGAAAAAAATGAACCCCCCCTTTTTTTTTAAATTGCAGACTGACACAGATATTGGAACAGACTTACGAGTGAACATGTGCAAAACTGACAGATTGTAAACGGTCTGTGCTAATTTAGTCCATTCCTAGGTTGGCTAAAATGATGCATATTGCATTTCTTAGAGGGAATTACAACAAATAAAAGCTGGCTAGGCAAGTTCCACAGGTTGACATTCCCTCTTCTACACAAGATGTGGGAGCCCAGGCCTCGCTTGCAACTGGTCATCCTGTTGAAAACAAGCCATCTCTCAACCAGGCTGGGCATGTTGCTAGATGCTGGTAGCCAGAACATGGAGAAATGACACAAATATGTAGCGCAATAAAAAAGAGAAAATCTATTGACTTATTCATATAATACTAGAACTTGAGGACATTGTATGAGATTGATTGGCAGTAGATACTGGCTTGGAAAATGGAAGTAGGTCTTTGTGCAAAATATAATTAAATTGTGCATTTCGCAATCACAACGTTTTGGCAGTATTAAGCCATATAAGCCTGGGACAATCTACATGACAAGGTGATTATGTTCATTCCTTGCTTATGAGTTCTAACAAAGATCTGTTAATATAGAAGTAAAATGCTGTGGACCTTGGGCTGATCCTGTAAGAAATTTTTTGTTCTTCTTGGGCTATAATTCTCTGCATGTATTTGGGAACAAGCTCCATTGAATTCACTGGGGCTTACCTATGACTTTCCTTGCTGTTCACAAAGGAATGCTGAATCTCTTTCTGAATTCAATTTCAGAGAAACTGCATTCTAGTGATGGGCAAGGATGAAGGCAAAATGGAGTGGAACCTAATGCCAGAAATCCTGGTGTATGTTATCCTGAGAGTGTAATGCTATCCATGTGTAGACAGAAAAATGGCTCTCAGCTCCCACTATGCCCCAGTAGAGGGAACGTGTAAAAGCTGGGAAACCACCAAACAACCAGAGGTTGGGCTAAAGTCTGTGTGGCCTCTTGGGCAACTCCAGACAGGCTGGCATTGGCCCAGGACAGGACATTCTGCACTCCAATGTATAATGTATCTCACAAGGTGGTTGACAAATGGCTGCTTTCATCAGATAAATGCAACGTCTTTTCCTTTAATCATCATCAAAGGGAAAATGGCAAACTTACACGTGATTCTGGTTCTGCCTTCCAGATTTCTCCTTCTGAAATTTTTCCCAAAGAGTACAATATCTGGAAAAGGGATAAATCTTGTTTAGCTTCAAGAGAAATCCATACATGACAGCCCCATTCAACTTTAAAACAGCTGTAGCCAAATGCCAAGATAATCTGGTAAGATTTCAGATCTTGAAATGAGAGTTGTATGGAAACAATCCTAATTTGAATTTTCACACACACACAAACACACACACACAAGGGGTCCAAGATTTCAGAGCAGATCAGTTCCAGAGTCACAAAGCACAGTCTCCATGGAAATACAGATGGGAACAGATGCTGCAAGTCATCAGTGGGAGGCCTGCTTTCAATCTGACTTCCAACAGATGCTTGTTGATGGGACAGGCCTGAACCCTGGCGGGTGAGCCATGGTCAAGGAAGCCCCATCAGAGACTAGATGGCCTCTTCTTTATTGGCAAGGTCAATTTGGCATGATGGTTAGTTTAAACCTCTTCACACCTCCTGCAAGCTTGATTTTGACTGCTGACTTTTTGTTCTTCTTTGCTTTCTTGATTTTACTGGAAGCCTTTCACTGTCTTTACAAGGGTTCTTTAGAGATCAAAGGCCAGCTGTAAATACTTTAAAATAAACTAGCAAAGGAATACAGCTGGCCTTTGGGAAGTCCTGTTTAAAAAGTGCATTTTGCAGTGCAGTCTGTACCTCTCTGGCTGCTCTTTCTCCTGCCTGCACTGCCCCTTCCATGTAGCCACTCCATTCTGTAGCTGTCTCTGTGCCAGCAAAGAAGATCCTCCCGACTGGCTCACGAATGATCCTTTAAAATAATAATAATAATAATAATAATAATAATAATAATAATAATAATAGTAATAATAATAGCAGCAGCAGCAGCAGCATGAGAGACACAATTCCCTTATCATAAGTTAGATGAGGGCATGCACAATGTCATTTCTACTATTTATATTGTTAGTGACTCCTGGATCCTTTGAGATTCCTCTAGATATTTATCAGGGCCAAAATAGATGCTAATTGCACAAATGCAATTAATGTGCAAATTATAAAGTAATGGTCTCACCATCCAAAACTGCTATTGACATCTATTTTATGGCTATAAATCTAGCAGTTCTTATATGTTTTAAAAAGGCTATGTTGTGGAAGACAAAGAAAAGAGATCAATTAGTGAACTATCACTCCCCATAAAGTCGACACAATCAAAATAAAATTTAAAAATGTTGTCCTCACTTGAAACACGCTGATGAACAGCAAAAAGCATGCCTTTTTCCTGCTTTATGCTGTGATCTGTGAGCTCTGTATTTTCCAAGCACATATTCAAATATACTCAGCTTGTATTATAACAATCCTCCGCTAAGGGGAGGGGTCGTAAATTCAGTCCCTGAACCCTTCTTGTTCCACAAGGCAGGATTTACCTATCTATAATGAATCACATGCAGAAATGTTTAGGATATGATACATCGTGGAAATCAATGCACCATTTTTTTTTTCCGATTGCATCTCCCTTTTTGTTTCACAGCAATTAATCTCAGCCTGGTTTGTCATCTGATTTGTTAACATACCAGTCATCTGTAAGATTATAAATACAGGCTTTTAACTACACCTGAATTACGGGCGATGAAGCGAGTTGGGAGATGGCTAGAGCGTAGGTGGAGGAAATCACGGGATGAATCTGACCGAACACACTTGAGAGCCCACTATCGGGCCTATGCTGTGGCGGTGAAGGCGGCGAAAAAGAAGTTTTTTTCCGCTTCCATTGCCTCCTCACAATGCCGTTCAGCGGAGCTTTTTCGAGTGGTGCAAGGCCTGGTTCGCCTGGGTCCTAAGGAAGATCCGATGCCACCCTCAAAGGCCCGCTGTGACGGCTTTGCCAGGCATTTCAGGGAGAAAATCGCTCAGATTCGTCACGAGCTGGACTCCACTAATGAATCAGAGGTCTCTGAGGAGTCGCCAATGCCACCATCTGGTCCAAAATTATTGGAGGAATTTCAATTATTGCGGCCCAATGATGTGGACAAGGTGCTTGGAAGAGTACGTCCCACCACTTGCCTATTGGACCCTTGCCCGTCTTGGTTAATAAATAACTCCAAGCACGGGATTGGGACCTGGATTTTGGAAGTGGTTAACGCTTCTCTGAGGGAGGGTCGAGTGCCTGCCCCTTTAAAGGAGGCGGTAATACGACCGGTCCTGAAGAAAGCATCACTGGATCCAGAGATGGCCACTAACTATAGACCTGTGGCCAACATCCCGTTTCTGGGCAAGGTGTTGGAGCGAGTGGTGGCGGGACAACTCCAAGCACTCTTGGATGAAACTGATTATTTGGATCCTTTCAGTCCGGCTTCAGACCCGGGTACAGTACTGAATCTGCCTTGGTCGCCCTGTACGACGACCTGTGCAGGGAGAAGGACAGGGGGAGTACATCCCTGTTGGTTCTTCTGGACCTCTCGGCGGCTTTCGATACCATCGACCATGGTATCCTTCTGGATAGACTTGCGGGATTGGGGGTTGGAGGCACTGCTTTGCAGTGGTTCCGCTCCTATCTCGACGGTCGATTCCAGAAGGTAGTGCTGGGGGACCATGTCTCTATGTCATGGCAGCTATGCCATGGGGTACCACAGGGCTCCATTCTATCCCCTCTGCTATTTAACATCTATATGAAACCGCTGGGAGAGGTCATCAGGAGGTGTGGGCTGCGGAATCATCAATACGCTGATGATACCCAGCTTTACCTCTCGTTCTCCACTAATCCAGGTGAGGCAGTGGCTGTGCTGAACCGGTGCTTGGCCGAGGTAAGGGAATGGATGAGGGCCAATAAACTGAAACTCAACCCAGACAAGACGGAGGTCCTGTTGGTTGGTGGATCGGGTTTCGGAGAGGGTGGATTTGACCTGGTCCTGAATGGTGCAACACTCCCTCTTAGGGATAAGGTCCGCAGCTTAGGAGTACTCCTCGACCCGGAGCTTTCTTTGGAAGCTCAGGTGACAGCGGTGGCGAGGAACGCCTTCCTTCAGCTTCGGCTGATTAATCAGCTGCGCCCCTACCTGGAGTACGACTGCCTGGCGACAGTGACACACGCGCTGGTGACTTCCCGCCTGGACTTCTGTAACGCGCTTTACGTGGGGCTTCCCCTGAAGACAGTCCGAACACTTCAATTGGTGCAAAATAGAGCTGCCAGGTTGCTGACGGGGACGGGGCGTTATGCTCACATGACTCCAGTCCTCCGTCAGCTTCACTGGCTTCCCATTGAAGCCCGGGCCCAATTCAAGGTGTTGATTATGACCTACAAAGCCCTAAACGGCTTGGGTCCTGGCTACCTGAATGAGCGCTTACGTCCGTATATGCCCGACCGCCCTTTGAGATCTGCGGGAGAGTCCCTTCTCCGGGAACCCTCCATGAAAGAAATTAGGAGAGTAAGTACCCGGAGGAGGGCTTTCTCTGCGGTGGCGCCCAACCTATGGAATTCACTCCCCAAAGAGGTCCGCCTGGCACCGTCGTTACTGGTTTTTCGGCGCCAGGTAAAGACCTTTTTATTTAAACATCATTTCAATTGTTAAAACATATGATCTGGCCTGGGCAACTTCTTCTTCCTTCTCTTTCTCATCCTATATTTTTATTTTATACTGATAATTTTAATTTTGTATTTGTAAATCAATGTATTTTTTGTATTTTTATATTTAATGGTAATTTATTATGTACTATTGTATTTCAATGTATTTTATCATGTTGTAAACCGCCCCGAGGTTTCGGCAAGGGGCGGCATAGAAATGTTATAATAATAATAATTTAAAAAAAACTGTTGCATGTAAAAGAATGCTTCCTTCGGATAGTGTTGATGTAAGCAGAAAACATAGAACTCCAGTTGCAAGTAACATGCCCCAAATGCTTCTGTACCAGACTTGACCAGGGAAGTTATCTTTGTTAAACATCCACAACATTTATTCAGCTTGGAGGTGTGGCACTGTGCATTTAATTGAAGTGGTGACCCTATTCACAAAGAGCTATGGGGAAATTAATGGCCCAGTGGCAGAGTTCCTGCTTTGAAGCAAGAAGAAGTCTTAAGTGTCATCTCTGGCTTGTCCCAGTGGACAGGAAAACCTCCTGCCAGGAGCTCTGGAGGGCCTTCGCTGCCAGTCCTTGTTCTCAATACTGTGCCAGATGGATCAAGTGTAGCCCAGCTCCCTGTCTTCCGCTTTCCTGGGAGCAAGTGCCATCGAACACAGCAGGACTTACTTCTGGGTGAACGAACACAGAACTGAGCTTTATGCAACCAATGAACTGGTTAAAGGAATTTTTACCACAATGAATTTGTTTACAGCTTTGATTAATTCTGGGTGGACACCACTTCAGCCTTCAGCCTTCCTCCACCTTGAGTCCCCAAGTAATGTTGGACTACATCCCCCATCAACCCCAGCCAGCATAGTCAAGAGTCAGGGCTTGACAGGGCTTGCTTTTCAACATCATATAAGGACCCTAGCTTGGGAAAGGCTGAGTGGGAAAGTGACTCTTCTGATAGGATTTCCTCCCCCGTTTCTGTCTTTGTTGCTGCGGTTGTTCTCCTGATCTCCTGCATCTCCTTGATGTTGATACTCTACCTTCCATACTGAGTCATTATCCCTGGTGGGAAATAGGTGGTATAGCATCCTCCAGAATACTGCTCTTCACACCAGTTCTTCTCTTCGTAGTGCACCGGCTACAAAGGCCCAGTTAATGGAAGGTGAATGGGAAAGGAAAACCAAAGATAGCTTTGAAAAATACTGTAGAAAACCTTTTTTTGCAAGATAATACACAGCACAGTAGAATATTGTAAAGAATACTTGGTGACCTCCCATTTCACTATGCCAGCCCTCTCCAACCCAACACTTCCCACATATATTGAACTAGAGGTCCTGTCACCCTGGCCAACATGGTCATGCAGGCTGGGGATGATGGGAACTGTAGCCTGACACATCTGATGAGTGACAGTCAGGGAAAGCCTGGACTCTACCTTTTAAGAAAAGTTATCATAGCCAGAAGAAAAGCAGCACTACCTTTATGTTTAATTTCACCTGGCTGTATTTAGGAACTTTTTTCTGGTATTACTATTGTATTGAACTTGTTTTAACTGTATACCTAAACAAACAATTATCAAAGAAATAAATGTGGGGGGCAGCTATGGATCATATAAAAAACCTCTTAGCTAAAATTACCTTCTTTACCTTCTTCTACTGTCTTGGCAGAGCAGCAGAGGCACAGGTTGGGAGAGAGCACTCAGCGGCCAGGGGACTGGCGAAGGCAAGGGAGGAGCTGGGCAAGGGAGCAGGGGCAGGAGCAGCGGAGGGGAAGGGGCCGGGGCCAGAGGGGCCAGGAGGAAGCGGGGGCGGGGCCACCGGCCTGAGGGACTGATAAGGCTGCGCTCAGCCACTGCCAGCCCTTTTGGCTCTAGCCTCTTGGTGTCATCCCTTGTCTGCGTCCCTTAGCTGTGGCCCAGGCTGTCCAGGGACTCCCTTCCCTGGGACGCAGAGGAGTTTTTGTTTGTTTGTTTTTTCCTTTCCTTTCCTTTCCTTTCCTTTCCTTTCCTTTCCTTTCCTTTCCTTCTTCCTTCCTTTCTTTTTCTTTGTTTGTTTGTTTGTTTTTGGTGCTGTGCTTTGTTTTTCCTCCAATTTAAATTTAAGTTTATTTTATCCTTGTGTGTGTGTGTGTGCGAGTGGGTTTTTGTCTGGGAGAACTGGCCGAGTGAGAGGAACTGCAGGACAAACAAGGCAGGGGACCAAGGTAAGGTCTCGGAAGGGATACCGATGGCAGACCAGATGGCCTTGGCGGGAGTCACGGGTGTTGCTCTCCACTGCGACAGCTGCGACATGTTCGCCCTTCTCCCCCAGGAGAGGCAGGGATACACTTGCCCTCGGTGCAAGATGGTGGTCCTGCTATAGGAGGAGGTGAGGTGCCTGAGGGCTGAGAGAGCTCTCCAGGTGCCCCCCAGAGCAGCCCCCCTCTGGACAGAGAGATGAGGGAGAGACCACGGGAGGAGCAGCTGCGGCGGCATGGAGGCATGTCATCCACAGGAGGAGGAGGCCAGCACAGCCTCCTCCTTCTCCTGGCACCAATCTGGAGCTGGGAAACAGGTTCTCTCTGCTTGTGGAGGCTGGGGCTGATGAGGCCTCGGGGGACCAGCAGGACCCCCAGCCTGGGATGTCAGGCAGCAAGGGGGCTGCTGCGGGAGAGGCGAGGGCCAGGGCATGGCTGCCCACCAGCACCAGGAAGGTACGGCGGCAGGTGATTGTTGTTGGGGACTCCCTGCTGAGGGGCACTGAGGTGACAGTGTGCCGCCCCAACCTGGACAAAAGGGAGGTTTGCTGCCTGCTGGGCGCACACATCCGGCATGTGAAGGACAGAGTGGAGCGTCTTGTTTGCTCCAGGAGTCACCAGCCACTTCTGAGGGTCCGAGAGGCGATGGGGGGAAACATCCTTGACTTGGTTCTTGAAGTACAGAATAGGGGAGCTCTGAATGCGAGTGATCACTCCATCCTTTGCTTTGAGATCAGGGGACTGGGGACATGCAGCAGGTCGAGCACTAGAAGCTGGGACTTCAAGAGGGCCAACTTTGGCCAACTGAAGGCCAGACTGGGGAAATTCTCCTGGGATAGGTTACTGGAAGGTAAGCAAGTTGTGGAGGGGTGGATAGCACTCAAAAGGGAGGTTTTGGAGGCGCAAGCCTTGGTGATACCTCTAGTCAGTAAGGTGGGGAGGTGGAGGAGAGTTCCGCCATGTATGCGAAAGGAGGTGGTTAGAGGGATTAGACGAAAGAGGAACCTCCATAGGAAATGGGTACTGGGGCAAATAGACAAAAGGGTATACCGGGAGGAGGAGGCCCGTTGCAGAAGGATTCTTCGCAAGGCTAAGGCTGATTACGAGCTGAGACTTGCCAAGAATATCAAGAGCAACAAAAAGGGCTTCTTTCAGCATATAAATAGGAAGAGGAAGGGGAGACAAGTGGTGGGACCACTAAATAAGGAGGAAGGAGATCCAGTGACTGATATGAGGGAACAGGCACAGATGCTAAATGACTATTTTGTGTTCTCCCCAAAGCTGCACGGGGATGTCCACATAGGAGATTAGATGATGCCGGGGACTTAGGGGCACAGATTAGAGTCACCCCTCCCTTGAAGTCGAGGGCCTCCTCAGGGCATTGGACATTACAAAGATGCCAGGCCCTGATGGGTTACACCCGAGAGTACTTAGAGAGTTGGCAGGGGTTCTCTCACGCCCACTGGCCTCCATTTTTGAGACCTCGTGGAGAACAGGTGAAGTTCCAGAGGACTGGAGGGGGGCATCAGTGGTCCCAATTTTCAAAAAGGGTAGTAGAAGGGACATGGGGAATTATAGACCTGTTAGCCTTACGTCCATTGTAGGAAAAACAATGGAAAGGCTCATAATAGAGAGAGATCTAGTGATGCTAGATAGGGAAGGGAGGCTGACAGCCACACAACACGGCTTCTGCAAAAACAGGTCCTGCCAGACAAACCTTGTGGAAATTCTATGACAAGGTTTCGAGATGGCTAGATGGATGTGGTATACCTGGATTTCAGCAAGGCCTTTGACAAAGTGCCCCATGATATCCTGGTGGAGAAACTGAGGAGTTTTGGGATACACCAAAGCACTGTCCGGTGGATTAGGGCATGGTTGACTGACCGAAAGCAGAAGGTAACCATTAGCGGGGAATCATCAGGATGGTGGCCAGTGACAAGCGGGATCCCCCAGGGCTCTGTCCTGGGGCCGATCCTGTTTAATCTTTTCATTAATAACATGGAAGAAGGGGTGAACAGTATGCTGATCAAATTCGCAGACGACACTAAAACTGGAGCAGTGGCCACAACTGAGGAGCAGGTACTCCAGATCCAAAAGGATCTGGACAGACTATGGAAGTGGGCAGGAGACAACAGGATGGCGTTCAATGTGGATAAGTGCAAGGTCTTGCACCTGGGGCATAGGAATAGCTGTCATAAGTACAGGTTAGGTGACAAGTGGCTGGAGAGCAGCACTTGTGAAAGGGACCTCGGGGTGCTGGTTGACTGCAGGCTAAACATGAGTCAACAGTGTGATGTGGTGGTCAAAAGGGTGAACACCACCCTTGGTTGCATAGCCAGAAGTGTGGCTTCTAGATCAAGAGAGGTATTACTACCACTCTACATGACTCTGGTGCGCCCGCAACTGGAGTATTGTGCTCAGTTTTGGGCCCCTCATTACAGAAAGGATATAGCCAGGTTAGGGTCAGTGCAACGTAGGGCCACAAGGTTGGTGGCTGGTTTGCAGGGGATGGGGTATGAGGCGAGACTGAGGGAACTGGGTCTCTTCAGCCTGGAGAAGAGGAGACTCAGAGGGGATCTGTTGGCGACATACAGGTATGTGAAGGGATGTCACATGAAGATGAGTAGAGACCTGTTCTCCCCTGCAGAGGAAGGCAGGACGCGTTCCAATGGAGCAAAGCTCAGGTAGCCAAGGTTCCATTTGGATGCCAGGAAGCACTTCCTGACAGTTAGGACTCCGAGGGTGTGGAATGGGCTTCCATGAGAGGTTGTTGAGGCCCCATCGGTGCGGGTGTTCAAGGATAGGCTCGACGTGCACATGGTGGGCAAGTCGTGAGTGGAGCCGGCTGGTGCTGGAGGTCAGACTAGATGGCCCGGGAGACCCCTTCTGACTCGCTCTGTTTCTATGTTTCTATATCATTAATAAGTATGCAGATATAGCCAACTAATAGGCAATGTAATTAATAACTGTTATCAATATTTTGTATTATATTTTGGAAATCAATACACTTTGAAAATTCATGTACAGGTACAAAACTATCCTTCTATGAATCTCCTTATGCTGTAAGAAAAGTATGAAATATTATAATGGAAATTATGTTCTTACATGTAAGGCTTCCTGTGATCCTAACACCTTTGCATAGAGCTCACAGATCTGTTTTTTCCTATGGGAGAAATATTAATTATATACATTGCTAATCTGAGTTTTACAAAAAATAATTTGAACTGAATTTGGAGTTTAAAGCCTGAAATCTTCTCTACCGTGTGCTAATCCAATTTGGATCAGGACTGATATACTCTGAGATTAGAGAATCATTATTTCCAGAAATCACCTCACCACCATCCCACAGGTGAGAGAGAGAGAGAGAGAGAGAGAGAGAGAGAGAGAGAG